AGGCAATATCTAAATAGGGTGAAGAAAAATGTAATTTAAATAAAAGTGTATCTTATTTTGGATATTCATGTTTATAACAGCAGCTTTCCTCAACAGAGTGAGAATTTTCTACCTAAACGATCTTTCTTAATAGTTGTTCTAGATAAATGCGTATGGACAATTCAGATAGTTTTAAAACACTCTGTATAAGATACTGATAGCAGCAAAGCTTACGTTTTCACAAGCCTGATGAAGAAAGGGTGTTCTTTCTTGTGCATTAATGTGTTTCATCAGAATTCCTGGGAAGTTGTCCAGCTATACATAGTAAATATTCCACATACCAATAAAGTGATTCCTCAGCAATTCAACCACTCAGCACAACTGAGATTTAATTTATGGTGAATATCTGCACCTGTCAAACAGTGAAAAAGGCTCCTGACATAAGTGATCCTTTCATCCTGTTATTTATCTAAATTGTTAAAAAGGTCCTGTCTTTCCAGATTATAATCTTTCAAAGACCATAATTTCAAAAACATTCCCAGGCCTGAATTATGAACTTCCATATTGCAGAGGGAATATATGTGATTTTGAGCTAAAGTATATATATATAGGGCTAAGATCAACACCGTCACGGGAAGGCATAAAATGTGCCTATTACTGAATTAGGTATTTGGTTTGTATATCTAATAATAAAATCGATACGTGGCTCCATCAGAGGAGAGATCCATCAGCCCCTGTCTTGCTAGTGTTCACTCAAGAGATTGAATTTGCAAGATTCGAGGGGGAGAAATGATTCTCCATCTTTTGACAATCCATATTACACTAATTCGGACAGCTTTTACATAGAGCTGCACCAGTTTACTTGAGCGTTGCTTTCAATATCATTTCATTAAATCAATGCCAAAGGTTGTGTTGACCTTTTAAATATGTATTTAAATCTGATCAGTGGAGCTTAAATCGATTAGGAACTGATTTTAAGCCAACTCTTAAGGCAAATAAGTGTGTCCACACAGGGTTCCTCAGCTGTTCAACGAATTGATGTGAAATCCAATTTAAATTAAGCTGCTGCAAACAAACCACTGTTGTGTTGTACGCAAGTCCCAAATGTGCCCTCCACGTTTTTTGAGAACTTTCTTTGCAACTTGAACAGAGAACCCAAGGGAGATACAGTTAATGGAGTGAAATCTGCTCATCCCTGTCAGGGAGGGAGGGGTGACTACAAACTGTGGTGAGAAGCCTCCAAACAAACATCCCAGCTTCAGCTGCAGGCTACATTTGTAAACCTGTTCACTGTCAAACTACAGATGTTTTTTACTCCTCTGTCTCGGCAGCTGTAACTGCAGTTAACGAGGCAGGTGGCATCAGGAATACCACCACTCACCAGATCCCGGCAGGAGGAGGTCTCCTCTGTATCCCAGAGGCTAAAAACATCCAAAATGAGTTTAAAAGAAATCCCTCTAGTTCGTGTTTGCTAAGGAATGAGACACCTAAGGTTTCCAGCCTTTAGCTTACCTTCGCAGCAGCGCTGGTGTTTTCACAGAGTAAATTGTTCCTCTCTCCTGAAACCTCACCAAAGACCTTCGCAGGACTACAGAGAAGCCCCTTTATCTTCACAGCCCTTAAGTCTACAGGGGAACTTCAGAGATGTTGCTCTCGCAGCAAAGAAATGGGAGATGCAAAATGAACCGCGCTCCATATTGGTTCATAATGCAAATAAGATGGAATGAAATGGGTATTTGTAGAAGGGAAAGATTACCTGATAATTTCTACACACCAACAAACCTGCAACCTGGGTTTTAATGATGGAGTTTAAAAATAAAGTAAAATACAAACATACCATCACAGAATCATACGATATACTACACTGTGAGAGAAAGCAGGGGTGGAAGGAGTAAATAGAAGGAAATAGTAAGGTAAATTGAGGGAAAACTGTTCTAGCATAAGCAACTACCTTAATTATCAATCAGATAACATGGGAATGCAAGTTGCACTCGTGAGCTTCTGGGGGGTTTTGGTCCCTCGACCTCCCCTACCCCGCTCTTACCCAGATAAACTGTCATCTGCTCCATTTTCCCCTGTCCTGGAACTGAATAAAGAGAAAGAGAACAGTTTTCCTGACACTCTCCGGAGTGTTTTCATTGACAATTCTGCAGTTTGAAAGAGGAGTTATAAGGGCTCTTCCTCAGCTTCAGGCCCCTTTCTGACCAAAGGCTGCTGTTTGATGGGCTTTTGCAGCAGCTGTCTTCGCCAGCCCAGTCCTCAGCAGGAGAAATGTATCTAAATGCAAAGGTAGGTACTTTTTCACTCTTGGCCTGAACAAAGGAAAGTAAGAGAATGGGGCTTTGTTTTTTCTGCTCCGGGGAAGAAAAGGGCCTGGCAACTGCTGCTGATTTGTACGGGTGTGGTATTGTCAGATCTCTGGCCTCTTTCTTCTTTCGGCTTTCTTGGTTCCTCAAATTTACTTGTAATATTTCCATTCAGACCTGTGAAATCAGTTGTCTTGAATGACTGGAGACTCACAAACGAAGGTTATGGGATGTGAGTGAACATGAACATAAGGATCTTCCATGAGTATTTCTATATATCGAGGTAAAGGCGTTAAGTCCTTGTTAGTTATAGTAAACTCTCATCCAATGTAGGACTTCCCATGTGTCTTGCTAAAACCTCCCTGAAGCTATTGTGTCTTGTCCTGTTCTGTTTTTTTTAAAGCCTGCAGATTTGATGGGAGAGTATTCCTGGTGCTGGATATGGCTATTTCCCCTTCCTCCTAGCACAAACAGGAATCAATGAATCCTTAAGGTGGAGTGAGAAACATGATTCATGAATATAGGAAGCAGAGGAAGAGAGCAAGAGAATGAGAGAGAAAAAAAACCCCAAACCCACAGTGATGGGGCAGGAGGGGAGGGACTACATGACTTTGCAGTGGCAAATCACCAGAAGCAAAAATTATCAAAGCACTAGGCCCTACATCTGACATTTGTTTCTCTGCTCAGTCCTATTTTCTGCATTTTCTGAAGCTGTGGGGATTGGGGAGCGCGTGCTTTCTGACCAGGGAAAGCTCGCTGCTTCAGATGGCTCTTCTTCCCATTGTGGTTCTGCAGATCCAGTTGTGCAGAGCTTTGAAATTAAAGGAAGGGATGTTTGACGCAGCAAGATATGTTCAAGAAATATGAACCTGCAAAGGAGTATGACAATTTATTAATTTATTTTGTTGTTCAGTGTAGAACTGGCAGGCAGACTATCTCTTGTGGGATTTGCTGACCTAGATGCTGTAATGAACTTTCCAGTGGAGTCCAAAGGAAGACTAAACTCAGTATATTGTCTTTATCTAGGCATTCACGACGGAGAGCGGTTAAGTGCCAGAAATATTTGAAAGCCTGCCTTCTGAGAACTATCTGAGTTAGGTACCACAATTTTTTGTCCCTACGTATGCTGATATGGGAGGCAAGGAACTGCTGGCTTCCTCGCTCTTAGCTTCTTTTGTAGTATCCATATAGGTTTTGCACCAGTAATTGCCATGTCTGTGGGCCAACTAATTTATTTTTCCCATTCCTTTATGTCTTTCCAAGAAAAAGTGGTATAAAATTAGTTATTATTTTTCCCTAAAATCACATCTGAACTCTACCTTCAAATTCACACACACACCCCCCAAAAAAAGCAAGCTTAAATTTGGATTTTTACAGTTTTCACTTGCCAAACGGTACCTTTGCCATGACTGCTAGGGGCTTCAACAAAATGCTTTTACTGATAGCAGCATCTCTCCTGATGTGACAAAAAAGGATGGGAAAGGCTAACAAATTGTGTCTTGTTGAGCAGGGCCTGCAGCTAGAAACTTGATTCAGTTAGGAGAGCTCTTTGGAGGAGTTTTGGGACGCTGAATTTTTTTGAAAAAGGACAAAGAATTAATGGAGGAAGACAAATGCAAAGCTATAGCTCAATGGTTCTCACCTCCGTTCAAACAGAATCAAAGCCTTTGACTTGGTGGAGGTAGCTTCCAGACCTCCCTTCGCTGATAATATTTTTTTCTGATTTTAGCTCTTCTTCCCTTGCCGTGACTCTCTCCCCATATTCAAGACTGTCAGGGAGAAGTTGTAGCTAAGAATATCTGTAAACAGTGTTTTAGTGTCTCCCACACAGCAGTCTGGAACTGCCTTTCCTCGTGTTACTGAAAGTTCATGGATTTCCCGAATCAGTAGGAGTTCATTGATTTCTACGCAGGCAAGCTTGTGTTACTACTTTGGTTACTTTCGTGGTTTTTCCTGGCTACTGTTAATTAGGCTGGCAGATCTTCCGATGTTGCTTACATGCAGTAGCAGATGAATATAACTACTTGTACTGAGCTCTCATAACATTCTGCTTGTTTTGCATCCTCCTTAAAACGATAAAAGGCTTTGAAAACTCTTGTCTAAGCAACAAAGGAGATCCAGACTGCGACCTGGTACTCAAATGATGTCTCCAGTGTGGTTAGCGGTGCTGTCTCCTAGGCTTGGACTATCCCATCACCTCTTGCCGCCTCATGCAGCTCTTCTGGTATGTTCAGGTTAAAAACAATCGCTCCCCTGCTACCGCTCTCCTGTTACCTTCTGAAAGACTTGCCCGCTCTCTGAATTACAGTCTCAGCCTCTGTCTCTGACATCTCTTCAGGATCCCAGCTCAGGCTGAAGCAGGGCTCCTTCTCTCTCAAGCTCTCACTCCTTCCCGCGTGTGCATGCGTTTTTTGTCTTGGCTGCTGTAAGCAGCCTCCCACCACTTCTTCAGCCTTGTGAATAAAAGAGGCGGCCAGGCTGGAGCCGGCCCAGG